ATCCTGATCTTTATAGGGTTTTATGTGGTTAAATAAAGGCGATGATGATTGTTGCCTTGCTCTGTGAGATGAGATAATACTGGAAAATATTTTTTTAATTTAGTTACAGCATGCTCTGATAAATATCAATCTTCTATAATAACATTTTTTTCCCGTAGGCTGTGTAGTCAGTCAATGGAAACTCAAAGGTTATTAAATGGTGAGATTAAAAAAGGTTTTGATAGATCATAGTTAATAGGTCACTTTCTATGCCATACATCAACACCAGGTCAAGAGTATGATGAAGCGAATGGGTAGGTTTCTGGACATTTATGGGTAAGAAACAGTTGACTATGCAAAATATTTAAAGCTATATTTAATCTATCATTTTCAACATCCACATTAATATTGTAATCCTCTACTTTTATGACTTCATCAATATTCAGTAAGTCACAAAAATAGTCTGATAATACGGAGAATTATCAGACTTCTGAGAGCGCACAAAATAAACATTTCTTTAGTTTCCATTGTGGATAAAGACAAACTGAGGATCTTGGAATCAAAAGAATTATAATGGATGATGGTTTTAGGATTAATCAATAATATTTATTAAAAAATAGAATCTAGTCCTCCACCTTGACCTGTTCTGGGAGTTTGAAAATTTAGATAATTGGCAGGAGTGGATTCATTTAAACTTTCTGGAACTAAGGTTGCATTAGAGAAAATAAATCAACGTGATAGCCAGTTATCAAATCACTAACAGATTTAGAAGAGAGAGAATGTCTACCTAATAATCCACTTTTAATTGTTTTATTTTCTATTCTGGTAAAATAACTGTTTATGACAATATCTTTAGAATTTGTTAGAGTTTTCAGTTTATTTTATTTCACTAGGGATTTGAGTGGGTAACAGCAGGTGAGAGGTATGTAGGACTACAACGCTGCTTCCTGGCTCGGACCTTGTTTTATCAAAAACTGGGTGAATAACAAAATCTGACAGATTCTTGGAAGGAATACCATCTCCATTTAAAGAGTGATGGATGCTTTCTCTACGCATCAGACCAAGTTTTCCCCAAAATGTCTGCCAGTTGTTTATGAAGTCTAAGTGGTTTTCAGGACACTACCATGCAAGGGCGTAACTTTAGGTCTAACATTGGGGGGGTTGTGGTCTCTGTCCATTTATTTATTGAATAAATTACTTTTGTAAAACGATTCAGGATATTTTAGGGTTAAAATATATTGGGATGCTTTTACTGTGATTTACTTAACTTTCCTGTTTTCTCTGTATTTATTCTGCTCCTTTTCTGTTCCACATCAGTTCAACAAGTAAGGAAAAAACACTATTTTTCTGCATTTATTTTCCAGCAGTAACACACAT